AACTATACCTTTTCCTTTCTTCTTTCCCATATAGATTAATTTGATTAGCAACTAATAATAACCACAAATTAATTAAAACCATGTATTGTGTGAACACGTGTCAATAGATACATCTTATGATAAACATGCTAATTACATAAATTATTATTATTATTATTATAGTAGTAAAGCGTGTAGATAAATATATGACCCTTCAATAAAATCTATAACTTCACAAAATCTTCGTCGAAAGGGTATTTTAAAGTGTTCTTTTTATAAGAATGTACATGTAATAAGTCTACATATGCAATAAGTTATCGCAATTGACTCCTCCAATAAATCTTAAAATAATTAACTAATTTTCATTCTACAATAGCTATTGTTGGGAAAATTGGATGATTTGTGTGTAGATTAATTATCAATTAACATAATCAATTAAACAACATAAAAATATAAGAAGAGGAGTTCGAAAGAAAATAAGTTTTATGGAATTACATCAAGGATGATGTTTTAAAGGCGTGTGTTGTCTCCCTTTCGTGCAAGTACTTTAGACACTACACAACTTCAAGATAAAATCCATATGACTCACAGCATGTTCTCCTTCTATGTGCATGACCACAGGGAGATAAAGAATGAGTCTTTATCGAGTTGCCAAAATTATAGAAATAATATATAAGTATTGAGAGTATTCTATAAAGTTATTATTTTTCATGTTATGTTTAGCTCCATGAAAATCACTCCCTTTTGTAGGGAAAAATTCAATCCTCAAGATTAATCCAAAATTATGAGTTACAATATAGAATTATGATGTTTTTAATTTTAAGTTAAAACTAAAAATTAAATCAAAACCCGAAGATTAAATTATTTTAATTCTTGAAAGATCAAAACTTATTTTTTAAGTTACAACAGGTATTTCTTGAAAATGTCTTGCTACATGTATATAAATGTTTATATAAGGAATTGCATAATATCATATTATTTGTTAGTTTAAAACATAGATAATTTTTCTCAATTCTTCTTGAAAAAGTCAATTCTAAAACTAGGGTTTTCCCAAAAATTATTGATGAAACTCTCTCATAATAAATCCCAACTCGTGCAACAAAATTTTGTTAAGAAATTATTATTATTATATAATTAAATAAGTTTAAATATTAATTGATTGATATCTAACAAATCGTGTGTACAAATCGAAATCTAATCGATGTTCTCATTTATTGATATTATTATTTAAAGTCACTCAAGAATATATAGTTGTTGAGACATATCAATGCGTTCATATCTGTACGTATATTTCTGTACACACACATATATGTTGGATTGTATTTGTCATTTATTGGCTTGGGTAGTTGTAAAATGATTGAGTTAAAGAAAAAAGGTCAAACGTTTTTATATTAGGTTTTCTATATGATTGATTACTTGTAATTCCTAATCATATTAGGATGTCGTTTGATACTAATTTTATCAAGTTTAGAATATAAGTATGAAATTAATGATACTTAATTCAAAAAACTTGTTAACTAAGTAGAACAAATGAGATTCTTACATATCTCAGATTTGAAAGAGAAGACTTCGCACAAATTTAAATTTGATAGTTGAACGTTATAAAATCGGACCATCAAATTCATAATTGACTTCTACGAAACCATGATTATATATGCAACATTAGTTTCATTTAGGGGTGGAAAGGGATGAGCCGCTTGCCGACTAGATCTCCTCATGACTAGCTAGCTGCAAGCGTGAACCAAGCAGCGATTACGTGAAATGAGTCGCTGCAGTTAAGGGTATAATGTTGAAATAAGTATATGGTAACATATTTTATTTATTCTATTTTTGCTAGATATGGAAAAAATAATATGGATTTGATCAGGCTCAAAGAATAACGCGATAGTTGTAATACAGTTTTGGGGTGTTGTATTAACGGGGAGATGAAAAAATATTTAAACGATCTAAAAGGAATGGATTGTTTTCTCAAGAGTGTAGTTGAATTCAATATTGAAAAAATGAAGTTAAAAATAAATAATTTAAAACAGTGAAGCATCGAAATTCTCTCGGTTGGATTGGATCATTCACATCAATTATTCAGTTTTATAACTCAATTAGAGACTTTCATCCCGACACTCTAATCGAAAGATTTATCGTGAAAACCAATTTATTTTACAAATGTAATCCTGGAATCTAAATTTATGACATGTTTACACAATTTTATTGAAATTAGATTCATAAATCGACCATATATTTCAAGTATAAAGTAGTAAATGAATCACACCAATAAAATGATTGAGATTTCAATTCAACAATTAATTCAATTCGTCGATAAAAAAAAAATGACTAAAGCTATGATTAATTTAATAAAAGTTAAATCAAACTCAATATATATTCATGAAATTGAAATTCAACAAATATTTCGATTAAATAATGGAAAATGCATGACTGAATCTATGAAAAATCTAATAAGAATTAAAC